GACATTCGGACGGGACTGAGCGAGCGGTCTGAGTGCGAAGAGACAGAAGTGTATGGTTTTGGACTGGAGCACACTGGAGAACAGAGTAGCCCTTTACTAAGATGAAGAAGTCTCAGTGTGAAGAATACCAAAACATAGTTCTGGAATGGTGACAATAACAGATATGTCTAAGTATGCACATCCCAAATTATGATCCCTGCACTTACAGTTCTTTTTCATTTTGCAATATGAGAGACTGGACACAGATTCTTGTGCTGAGCTACATCTCCAGCCCCTTTTTAAATATTTTTATTTTGAGATAGGATTTCACTACTGTGCTAATTGCTGAGGCTGAGCTTGGACTTGCAATCCTGTTGCTTCAGTCTACCAGCTGACTTAAAAGTTTATGGTCATTCTACTTAAAAATTTTCTGACAATGGCTATGTTAAAGCAAAACACAATTGATTGACACTGTACTTTTAATTTTAAATTTCGATCTCAGGCTGGCAACCTGGGGTAGAATATTCTCTCACAATACTAAATAGGAGAAATAAGTTGTAGCTCTTACTGAGCCACATGACCAAGAGAGTAAACAACTGATGCCCTGCCATGAACTGCACTGCTGGCATTCTTTAGCTGTTTTGTCTGTTTTCGTATGTCATCATACCTAAAAAATGTCCATGGGTGCTTTCAGAACCCACACAACCATTTTATCTTTCATTTTCACTACAACATGCAATAAGTTACATAAAATAATCAACCTTTTATTATGAAACAATAATAAAAAGTTGTGTTAGGTTAGGTGTCTTAAGTCTGTCTTTGACTCTATATTTCAACTTGTAACATGTTACTAGGATATAAGTACAGTGCACATTGACAAGCATCTGCAGTCATATCAAATCAGTGGTGCAATCTGTGAGTCTGGAGTTAAGAAACAGAGACAGAGATGTGGAAATCATAAAATATCCTTCAGAGCCATGTGACTGTATGGAATCCCCTACCGGGAAGAAACTCAGATATTTCAGAAGACAATATCTAGTAAATATTTAAGCTATTTAATATGACAATAAGGGGTCATCTAGATGAGGACAAACCAGCAGAGGAAGCAGAGAAGGAACAGCTGCCAAGGAAGGAAGGAAATGAGAGAGTGGTGTTGCCACCATGGTGGAGAAAGAGTCCCAGAATGTGGCCATCTCCACTTCTCCCCACGCAGCCTTCCTAAGCACATGCCGCTCATGCTGCAGAGCTTCTGTGCTAGGCCCCATCTGAGCACACCTGCGCCAGGGAGATGCTCTGCCTGTGTATCCCCAGAGTCATGGTGCTGTACTATTCACAAAATGGTGAGCACTCCTGCAGCTCCACTTCTCCACCCTTCTCCCTAACTCCACCCACTTCAAAAAGGGAGTCCTTGAGGGCCAGAAGTCTCCATCGGAATGGCTGGACGCTAGTCATATTTCCCACAAAAGGAAGGGAGAAGTTGTAGTTATTAAAAGCCTACCGTGAGTAGGCAATATGTCAATATGTTTATGATGCTTGTCTTATATGCTAAAAAAAAATGGATAAAAAATGAAGCAGGGAATATAGCTCAGTGTCACAGCACCTGCCTGGCAAACACAAGATCCTGAGTTCAATTTTCAGTACCAAAGTTAAAAAAAAAAAAAAGGGAAATACTGACAGAGTCTGAGTAGTAGAGCTCACTACATAGGTAGGTGATGGATAAGGGTGATTGAGGACACAGGTAGAAACCTGCAGAGAAGATGGACACCCCAGCACACTGCAACTTGATTTCATCAGCAGTCAAAATTATTCAGCAAACTCTTTTTCTAAACTCATCAAACAGAATTTTCCAATGTAATTTTGTTTCTTTTATAGATTTTCTACTATTCAGAAAATAACCAGGAGGAATATAAATATCCACTCCAACTGGGTGCTACAGTTCTCATTGTTTATGAATAAGTTAGCGTTCTATTTTAGACATTAATAGAATGTAAATTGGTCAGCATATTTTTTTTCTTAGGTTTTAGTGATGAGCACTTTCCTTATTTTCTGGTTTTTTTTTGATCACTAACATGTCAAACTCCAGTTGTGGCATCAAAATAGGACTGATTCGGCAATCACAAGAGATTGTGATATAAGAACTCTAAAACACACATCTGTGTGACAGGCTGATAAAGGAAAATATTGATTTTCATTTGTTTTGTCCCCTGTTGACACCGTGCTGCTCACAGCCATGATTCTCATCTAATGGATTGGAAAGACGTTGTTGGGCAACAACCTGAGAAAAAATACTTATCTCGTTATTGCCTCAAATTTGATCCATTTTTCTGAGTTTATTCCCTAGACTGAAATGTAGAATCCCACAGCCAGACTAACTCGTTTAGATTTAAATCTGTCACTTGTGAGTATAGCCAATCTTGCTCAAGTAAATATATTTGTGAAGCTTTGACAAAATTCATTTCACAGAGTTTTGAAGACCAAAGTATGAACTGTGTTAATGCAGCCAAGGAAATTGTACTTGTTGCTAACTGGCTGTGGGTGTAGTCTTGCGCTAGGATACGGGACAATCTCTAAATTCTCGTCAATGAAAATTTTGGAAGAAAGGATTTGTAACCGCAACATAAAGTAGGTAAAACTGTGGCCATAGTTTTCACATCTTAAAGTGTGTTGAACACTAATACTTGCTCTATTTTTTACTGACAGCAGGGGCATAAGTCCTCACAGTCATTGTAAAGTTCAGTTTTCCTCGGTCAGACTATATCGCATTTCCATCAGTTTCCCTTGTTGCTAGGAACAATTTAGACATTCCTGACATGTGCTTTGGGAGCATCCATCCTGGCTGCTGCCTGCGTGCACAGACACGAGGGCCATCTTAATCTCTGCACGGGCCCTCCCTGGCAACTGCCCGGGGACATTCTCCAGCTCAACTCCAACTCCTAAGCAGTCACACTGTGCACATGGTGCAGTTGTTCCGAACTCTTCAGACCACGCACTACACACCGTGATATGTCACATCTTTCATGTCTTCTCATGCTGTTGTCTGGGATGTATCCCTCACAAATGTCTTAGCTAATTCATGAATCTTTTCATTTACCTCTTGTAAATCGTCATCTCTAAGAAATTTTCCTGACTTTTTTAGTTTTCTTACAGTATACTTCGGGAAAGAGTAAACACTAAACATCACAGCAAACATCATCCTTATCATTACCTTACTACACTCTATTTATTTAACATGATATCTTCACCTTGGGTTTGTGTTTGTTTTGTTTTGTTTGTTGTGTTTTGTTTTGTTTTGAGACAGGGTCTCCCTATGTAGTTCAGACTGGCCTTGAACTTGCAGCAATTCTCCTGCCTCAGCCTCCCCAGTGCTGGGGTAACAGGCATGCACCACCACACCTGGCTCTGCTTTATTTTTAAAAAAAGATCTGTAAATCTCTTAAAAGTAGCATCCTTTATTATTTACAACTGCATTAAGTACTAACAAACATGCGCTGAATTGAACAGTAAGGTTAAAATTCCATGTTATTTCACATTTCATTATACCTGTAAAGATAACTGCCGTGAAAATACCAGCTGCCAATTACTTATTTTGAACAGCTAAGTAACATTAATGTCTATAGTAAAAAAATTTTAGTTAATTGTATGAAAGAATGTTCAGTTTTTGCCAGAGCCACTGAAGGTTTTAGCACTCATTTTCTTTCTACAATGCTATATATATCAAATAATCTTGATGGAGATATTACAATGTAAAATGCTATGAAAACACATCTTTGAATTTTGGGTAAAATGTTGATGCTATGAGCATTTTACCTTACCAAGGAAAAATACCAGTGGTAGTTCTAAAGACAAATAATTTTTTATCAATTATATAAGACTAATAATTGTAAGATAATCTTAAAAAGTATATCAGTTAAATTACAAAAGTATTTGAAGAAAACCATAGGAAACTTTTTTAAGATTTTACTTATAATTAAAGTATGTAATCTGTTCCTTCAAAAATTTCTAGAAAAATATACGCCTTGGTTTGGGCATCTTGTTTGAAAGGTTAAAAAGGAGTATTTTTTTAAAATGCCATCTAGTGTATAAAATCCAGTTTTTCCCAAGCTATAATTATTGGTTGGACTCAACATGTGGACCTGAGTCAACCCTAGTTCCTGACCTATTGTGATGAGGGAAGCAATATATCAGCATTCTCAGCGATTCCTGAATTGCTTAGAACAAAAACTGAAGTTTCAAATGTCGTATGTTTCCTTACACTGAGCATTTCCACGTCAATCTTGCCTCCACTCATTCACTGACCTGCGTAGTGCTTTTGTCTGAACTTTCTGGCTTAGGACTCCTGGTTTGGATTGTGCCACACCTCTGCTCTTCACTGTTGTCCTGCTTGGGTTGATAGCTAAAGCCCTGCCAGTGGTCTCTCACAATGCAAACTCACGGTGTCCATCTCTCGATCCTCGCTAGACACAAGGGCCAGTTACACTGGGAAGAGACTGCAGCTAGGTCAGGCAGTGCTGACTGGGCAAAGTGTGCTATCTCGTGGATTTTCCCCCGGTATAGTGTCCTCTTGAATAAGCAGAACTCATGGCCATCCATCAGAGGCTGCCCTCTGTGTTACTGTACTGTGCATACAGTTGTGGACTGTGCTCATCAGCTCCTTTCTGGAGTGTATTATACAGCATTGTATTCAATTGTATGAGCAGCTCCTTAGTCTCTGACTAACCCAACCCCAGCTTTGCAATCCAAGCCCACTGGCGAACCTTTGGACCCAGAGTCTTATCCTAGCATGTTTATAAATGATTTTCTGACATTCATTTATACCAAATAAAAGCTCAGAACTAGCAGAAATTTATTAAGCAAACTTCAATTTTCTGAATCATCCAAAAGGCTATGTCTTGAATGCCTAAGCGTTCCTGGATAGAGTTACTATGAAAGTGGGAAAATAGTGAAACAAGACAGTTCTGGTAGCCACGACTGTTTACCTGATCATAAGCTAAAGCATTTTTATTTTGGGGCCTCCTTCTTACCTTGACTTCCACATGTGCCATCAGTACCGCAAAATTGGTCAGGTGGTTACAAGAGCAAGTAGTGTGCGTCTTGTTGGTTGTCAGGAGGCGGCAGCCTTGTGTTGACCAATAGCCTGTCATGGTGCGCTTGGAATAGCTCCAAAATGAACAGTTAGGGTTGAAATTTTCCTCTGACTGCTACAGTGGGAAAACAAAGAAACAAACAAAATGAATAAGTAAGAGGAAAAACCACTTCATTTACATGTAAATTAAGTAGGCATTCCCTTTCCATACAACACAGCCTCTCTCTGCTGTAATTCCCGTGGCCTCCTCTGAGTGTTTCCATTCCAAATGGCTCTCATTAATTCTAAGCAAAATGAAAATAGGCTATTTTTTTCTGTTTGATTAGAGGAGCACCCACTGTTTTAAAATTCTTAATATGGAAGGAATGTTAGTATCAGTGTTTCAGAATCATCAGCTGCTATCATTTCAAAGCAAGTAAGTTCATTGTGGGAAACAATCAACTTCTGAAATCAGCTGAAGTTCTGAAATCAAATTCTAGAAATCTTTTTTACAACTTCAATGAATCTTCGTATTTACTCAAAAAATAAATCTTTGTAAAAGACAGAACTACTTGTATTATCCTATATGAGATTCTGTCTAGTTCAATTTAATATACTGCTAGCTCTTTTCTAAAGATAAATTATAGTGCATATGTTTAAGGTATACAATATAATGTTACACAATACATACAGATAGTTAAAAGATTACTATATTAGAGAAAATTAACACCTATGATCTCACCTCTGTATTTGTTTTTGCTTTGCTTATTTTTCTGGCAAAAGCAGCTATAATTTAGTTATTTCTGAAAAAATTCACTACTACATCTTATAGATAATGAATTGTTATGTGAAACTTATAGAAGTGTTAAAATAAAATTAATACTTCTAATATTCATATCATAATGAATGTGGATAATGTGAACAACTAAACTCAACATGCCATTTCTTACCTTGATATGTTTAACAGTGAATACCACAGGATCAGCCAAATAAACCTTATTACTGAATTCTTTGTTAATTGCTGCTGTTATCACAGGTGAATTGACAATAACAGAATGATTTGTGGACATTGCTTCTGTTCCCAACTTCATACTGGCATTCTCCGTAGATAAATAAGGACCCAGGTTGTTGTACAGAACAAAGGCCACTCTGATCTCTCCTAAAATTGATGCAAATGTAAATTAGTAAGTGGAAAATACTCTGATTCTTTTGTACATTTTACCTAACTTAGTTATAACTAAATGGTAATTAAATCTGCAGAATATGCACTCAATACACACAAAATCCAGTGTTTATTTGATTGGTACAAAAGTGCAAAGTCAAATTCTGCTGACATAGCTATGCGTTAACACTTAGAAATAAATGAATCTCCATCTTTCTCCCATTCCACACTCAAAACTGAATTCCAGACGGATCATAGACTAAATGCAAAAACCAGAACTGTAAACATTACAGAGCAACATGGAGGATCACACCTTCATTCTCTGAGAAGGGAAAAATGGTATATGGAGAACTTATAAGCACAAGATGGTGAACTCAATTTTATCAAAATTAAGTACTTGAATTCATCAAAATGCATTAAGAACTTAAGCAAATCATAAAATAGGAAAAACATAGGATTCATAAATATACAAAGTGTCTGTGCTAGTCGACAATAAAATAGTAGACAATATTTTAAAATGGTAAACCACAAACACATGCAATTTTAGGAAAAAAATGAAAGGTCAGTGGACACTGGAAAATTAATCAGCTTCATCAGTAATTAGGGAAATGAAATTGAAGACCACACTGAGATCAGATTTTATAACAACTAGAATCTCTCAAATTAAAAAGAATGACAATGCCAACAAGATCAGGGGGCAATCAGGATTCTTGTACACTACTGGTGAGAGTGTAAAACTGTCCCAACTATGTATTTGGAAAAATATTTGTCAATATATTGTAAATTTAAGGAGGTATCACCCTTCTTTGATAAGTAATAACATATATTCACAAAGGGAAGAGAATGCGTAGAATAGTTGTAGTATCTCTATTCCTAATATCTCCAAATTGAACACAAATGAAATGAGAGAATAAACAAAGTAAAATATATTAATATTACAGAAAATATTACAATAATATAATTTATAATAATACTACAGTTTGCTTTAGTTATAATAATATGTAGTTTAGTTATAATAATATAATGAATAATAATACTATAGTTTGCAACAACAAACTATTGCCCAATGAATCTTCATGACTGAAGCTCAAAAATATTTTGCTAAATTATAGAATTTCCAAAAAAGTACATTCTGTGTTATTTCGGCTACATGACATCTGACAACAGGACACTGTTGTCTACAGGAAAGTAATACGAAGAACATTCCATGTGGTAGAAAGAGGGAGAAAAGAGTGATAAGAGACATCAGGGAGTTTTCTAGGTAACAGGAGTTTTATTTTGTTTTATATGATATTATGGAGGTATGTATAGCTGTCCAATTCCTCAAGGTAAATACTTCAAATATGCGTACTGTAATGTATGTCCTCCTTGTTCCGTGGTTCCTCCCATATTATCTATTTTCTTGAGAAAAAGGCAAGCCCTACTTCTATCAGTATAAAGCCACATCAGTTTACCAAGAAAAACACTGTTCTATTACCACAGTTACTAAAAAGGAGGAAATCACATTTCCCATCTCTGAATCTTTTGGTCAAGTAAGAAGACAGACAAAACGTTTTTTGAAGAGGGTGGCTGGTTTTTTTTTTTACTTTTATTTTAAAAAGAGTAGTAAATGAGAAAAAAAAAGAACAATAGGCTGTTTAACATATAAACTGCGCTCCCATATTAGGGATTTAGAAACACAAAATGCATATGCACTCATTTTCCAAGTTACCCTTGCAAAGAGGTTCTCTGGGAACCTCAGCTAGACGCATCCAGTCAGATGCAGTGGCCTCAGACTTTGGATGAGGAGTTAGGGACACAGTCAAGCACGAAGTGGAGCAAAAATAGCACTAGCAGCAACAGCAGCACAGCTCCTGCACCCAGACTTGGCTGTGGTTACAGTGACATCTCATGTGGATTCTACGCTGTGGTACAGGCTATTTTCAGCCTCTTGCTCCAGTGTCTTCTGGGCGTGCTGTGTTACGGACTCCGTCATGCTTTCAGTCAACCAGTAAAAAGATTATGATGAGGGCTACACAATGGAAGAAGGGACTTGGACCTAACCCACTTTTGTTGTTATAGATATATAAAGGTAACAGACTGAATAATAGTAATTCACTAAATAATTCCTGTCTATTACAATGGAGAGTTCTTCCCCTCTATATTTAGTATAAAAATGCTGATTTTTAGAAAGCTAAACTTAGGAATAGCCATCTAATTTTCTTTTTCATATTATCAATTTGTATTTTAATTGAGCATAATTCATACCGATTTCTACTCATGAGTGCCGTTTTGCCATCTCACCTTGTTTTACCAGTGCATTTAGTCGCATTTCATGGTTTGGGATCCCTCACTCCAAAATGTATGCGTAAATGTGACTTAAACAGAAAATAACAACCTACACAATAATGCAGCAGAGAATAAAAGGAATGAACACATGTTCTATGATGAAATCGGACAGATGTCAATCCTCGTTAGCTTTGCGTCTGAAAGTTCATGCGTGTATCCAGTGTACCCTCAGTGAGAGCACTCATGTGCCAGGCACTGTGTAAAGCACTGGAATTACATCAGTAACAGGAACAGACAAGGTCCCTGCTCTCCCGGAGTTTACTGCCTAGAGGGAGAGTCAGACTATAGGGAGGAAGATTAATAATGTAATTTCTTATAATGGCAAATAAGTTAAATATTATGAATATGCATTGTCATCAGCACGGCTAATGGGGAAAGAGTGGTCCATGTTGAAAAGATAAAGACTTTCCCTAAAGAGGTAAGATTTATTTCAAGAAGTGAATGGAGAAGTCAATATGCGATGAAATATAGAAATTGCATTTCAAGAAGAAACAAAAGAAAATGCAACCAAAAAAGGACTGATATAGGAACATGCATAGCGGGCCAGGAAGAGTGTGAAGGCTGTCTGCCTGAATCCTGGAGAACATGCTGAAGGCAGGCAGAACTGAGGCGAATGAGGCAGGAAGGAGCAGACCGGGAGAGGGGCGGGACTCAGGCAGGCACGTGTCCCTCCAGGTGTTCACTAGGGGAGAGCTGGTCAAATTTATTTTAGGAAGGATCTTCTCTCAACAGCAAATGTTCATGGAGGGCAGAAGCAACCACAGAAGCAGAGAAACCAATTAGGAAGCTAACTCAGGAATGTGATTTTGCCATGTCCGTGTCTCATCTCACTGCTGCCTCAAAGATTATTTTAGTACAATTACCAGAATAATGATTTATGACTTCCATCTTCTAAGACTTCTACCACCTATAAAGCATTTCACTTTGGTGACAAATGCATAAATTTTCTTACTATTTAACACCATCTCCTTCCTTTAAAAACTACACACGTAGCAATACGAAACATGTATCTTCAGTTGGTTGCTTCAACCTGAGGTCATCCTCCTCTCATCCAACAGCTTGCTGTTGCCTTGGCAAAAGTATGTTTTAAAATTTTAAGGTGTGTAAATCTTAGAACCTACTTTTTCTATAAGGTAACTTATTTATTGGATTTTAAGTTTTTTGCAGTGAATTCAGTGCAATAGTAAGCTGAGCTGACCTACATATACCAGTTCAAATTTCTCAGTATGTTTTCAAAAGGGAAAGTGTAGAAACACTCTCAAAAATGTTGAAATAAAAAAATGAAAATGTAGTCTGAAAATTACAAGTGAAACTTCCTTTAAAATTTTTATAAGATAAAACTGCAAACTTAGAGTTATTCTTTTCAAGAAAAAAGTCAAGTCATTTGGGTTTTGGTGTTCATCATTTCCCACATATTCAAGTTTCTGAAAACTGAATAGTAAAGGGATAATTTCCAAATCCGATAGAGAATTTTGTGGAATAAACATCACTGTAGATAAGAGGAGGAAATAGAGAAAGAGAAAGTTATAAGATGAGGAAAGAAAGAGCTCTTACATGGTGGGTCCAAAATCCCAAAGCTAAGAATCAATGAACCTTTTTTTCATGTATGTATTGGCCATTTCTACTTCTTTTGAGAAGTGACTTTCATTTCAGTTGCCCATTTTTACCAGGTCTTTTATTTTGGGGGTGTCTAATGTTTTTTAAGTTCTTTATATATTCTTTATTTAGTCCTCTGTTTAAGGAAGAGCTGTCAAAAGTATTTTTCTGCTCTAGGTTGTCTCTTCACTATATTGGTTACTTTCTTTGTTGGTCAGAAACTTATTAATTTGCTACAATCCCATTTGTTGATTCTCAGTATTATTTCTTATGCCAGGAGGCTTCTGTTCAGAAAGCCATTGCCTATGACTATGTCTTCAAAAGTTGTCCTATACTCTGAGTAACCACTTTGAAGATAATGATACACAGTATATTAACAATTGCTATTCTCTTATTACCGAATTATGAAAGTTTTGTTTTATCTTTTTATAAAATAAAAAAATCAATGAACCCATGTAAGTTCAATGCCATCTAGCAAAAAAATAAAATAAAGTAAAGTACCTTACCATTTCGACCATTTTGCTTTAGAGTGTTTGCAGAGAGCTGGATAGTGCTTCCACGGGCCGTGTTTTCGGGAAATTTTAGGTCTTCTAAGTTTCCCTCTGTGCTCAGCCTCGCAACTTCTAATTCTGTTAACAACAGAGAGCTATCAGTGCTCACCGAGAAACATGCTGAAGCTATGATAATTTCCTAATCTGCTAAAATATTTCTGAAATCAAACACTGGGGCTCTCATACTATTTGTCATGCTTTTACTATTTTAATATTTTCAAAATAAAGCAAAAAAATTTTAAATCATGTAAGTAATATAAATATATTAATAATAAAGTCAAACATTTAAAAGTCAAGCCCACATCCACTTACCTTTGACTTTAGGTTAACATTGAGAATATTTTTATTTTATGAATTGAGTGAAACCCTTCTATAACCTGAGCTGTACTTATCAATATCGATCTATCATTAAATAGAATTAAATGTGAAATGGTTTTATCAAATCTCCTGAAATAAAATTGCCAGCTGAATTGTACACCATAATAACATGAATTTATACTCTTTACAAGCCAAGTGACAAGACTTATTGTTTTATGATCTTCACTCAAATTACCTAATAGTTTATACTATGTAATTCAAACATAGATCTGAAATGACCTATAAGCCCTATATTAGCAGGATAAAGGAGGTCACAATGATATGCAAATGATACGTACATAAACAAAAATTCTAAAAGTGAACAGACCTCACTGTGAGTGATCTTAGGGTAATATGTCTGAAAATTTAACGTCCTAACGAGTTTAATACATGTGCTTTTGACCTTGATAGCCTACAAGGTGATGCCTCCCTAATTTAAGGAAAAAGGATAAGTCATCTCCATTGAAACTAAGCATGACTCTTGTCTAGTGTGCCAGAGCAACTTTTTTCTTTTCTTTTTGCTGCTAAGCAAGGGTTTCTGGCCCGTCCGTGAGCCGAGGGCACTTACGGATATTGTCCGTGTTCTCCCGCACGATGTCAGTCTTCAGGAGGTTGTCGGCCAGCACGAAAGCGCTCTCCTCCACAGTGTGCAGTAACATGGTGGCGGCCCGGAGCTGATCGCTTGTAGTCAGGTCTCTCCACGCGTTCAAGGCTTGCGGCTGAAGGAGGTTGTTAACCGTCTCCACCATTGCCTAGGAGAGGATGAACAGAATGACAGAGGTCTCCAGTGAACCGCAGAGCCGTCAGAAATCCAGGGCTACGTGTTGCCCGGCAAGCAAGGATCAGAGTTGTGTACAAGTTCGCTACTGTCCCAGCCTCCCCTGTGACAAGCTGTGGTAGGAGCATTCATTATTTTCCCTGTAAAGCCCTGGCTGAGACTTTGCAAGACAAGAAGAAATTCTGTTGGGCTTTTTCTTAAATTTTGTTTTGAAGGACAACAAATTGAGCCATGCTTGGTTCTTAGAATCAACAGCGCAGGCTTCGATAAGATTATAATCACATAATTAAATAATTTGGCTTGAGAGCCACTGACAACTAATTTAAACCAACAGTTTTGCAGCATGACCTGCAGAAAATAGCTTTCTTCCCTATACATGACCATAAAAGGGAATGCTGACCTCAACAGGGACTGAGATGATGACTATGGACAGGGCAGCACAGATTGAGGAGCCACCGAGCAGACCACTTTTTGTTATTCTCTCTTTATTTTCCTAAGTCAGCCCTAAAATATCAGAATGCGAATAGTATCAAAGCGTACATACTCCTAGGGGTGTCGGATGTGTTGTATGGAAAAGAAACCTCCTTCATGCTGTTTACTACTAGGAAGGGGAATAAACAGTTGGGATTCACTGCCCGCGGCCCTCTGGTGTTTTTTCTCTAAAAAAGAATCAGCAGTAGGTACATCCACACACAGAGACAAAACAACACATTTCTCATTGCTTCATCCAAAAGAATCACCTCCCCTTACAATTCATGTACTTCCTGTGGTTTGCTTTATACAGTAGGTTATAAAGAAAAAACAGCTCTCCCAACAAGGTCTTGAGCATCATTCAAACATCGAGAATTGCAAAACAGAAAAAGACAACACCTGCAGTTTGAAAGTGGTCATCCCTGCACCCAGTCACTCCAAACTATGCCTCTAATCCAGAAATAAAGTTGAATGAGCGGCCAACATGGACAGTGTTTCTAGGCAGCACACTGGTGTTTTAAAACAGGGCTCCGATACTGACACATTGGCAGAAGGACCAGGGAGACGGGAGGCACGTCCCTTACACTGCCGTGTTTGCTTCTGGCTGGTATTTTCGTAGTAACCAAGTAACGACTGTTAAAAAATTCAGCTTCATAATGAAACACCTTGGCTGCCAATTAACACCAGATTCAGAAACTAATTTGCCTTTTGATGAAAGTTGTTTTTCTTGATTTTTTTCCCCACTACTCCAAGTTCTGGCCGAAAACATCTCTGCACTTTTGACTAATCCAACTCATCGTTAAATACACACACACTAAAACAAACAAATAAAAACCTGTTGTGCATGTAAAGACTGGACACTTTCACACAGTGTGCCTAGGTCTGTCATTTGTCCTGAATTTAAATCATGACCCAGGAGCTTGACGTAAGTATTTCTGATCGCAACAAGATTAACTGCTCTCTAGGAAGTTCTCTATAGGGGTAAAGCCAGCAGGATATGCCAAAAAGAAGTGCCTGATAGGAAACAAACAAACAAACAAACAAAAAGTTGTGCTATTTTCTGAAGCCAAACAAAAGACATACACCCCTGAGCGGGAAGAGGTACTTTTTCAAGGATGAAGTGATTCTCTGAATTCCTTGGAAGTACTCTGACTCTGCCACAGAAATTATGTAGCTGTTTTGAAACAGAACAGCCATGCGAGCTGTTAGTAATTTTAATAATTGCCAAATAATTTCATATTGTTTTACTTCAATCTTACATCAGAGAACATTTATTAAGGATAATGCAGTATTTCTTTTCTGCCCTTGGTTGTTTTTAATTGCTTAATTTTAAAAATGCAAAATAAGTAAAAAAGAGCAATAAACAATACGCGAACTCCAGCACTGTTACCCAACAAAATTTTAAATAACTGGTTTCAAAAAAAAAAAAATGAAGAAGCTAAAAGGGTCTGCATAGACTACTATGGGGTCTGCACCAGCCTCAAAAGTTTCCAGAATAATCAAGCACACGGACAGAGGACTTCACTGATAAATTCAACCAAGCTTTAAAGGAGAATTAACACCAGTTCTTTTCAAACTTCTGCAGAACACTGAGGAGGAGAGTATACTTCCAAACACATAATATTTGAGCTCATATCCTGATCAACTGGACAGCAAAAGAAAAATAAGAACTACAAAAACTAAAGAAGCAAAACCTATTTGCAGATTACATGATCTATATATAGGAAACATGAAATCTCCATTAGTAATGAAACAGATGACCCATTGGAACTAGCAATCAACCTCAGAACCTGTTTATGACAGACTGCTTCATCTAAAAATGTGTCTTTCATCTGCTACCTATCAAGCATAGGTGCTTCTAATTAGCTTAGTTTTATAATTGAAGAGGTAAAAGGTGTAATATTTTTCTAGTTATAAATTTTAATATATTTGCAAATTATCTTCCTAAATATGGTAGGTACTGTGTTTATAAAAGTGTTGAATCCAATTTCTATTTAAGGTAAATAATCACCAAGTTTGTTAGTTTGTTAAAGAATCAACACATAAAATATGGCCCAGAAATCTGGAAATGGATGGCTTATGATATAATTTTAAGACGCCTTTAGTCTGCTTAGAAAAACACTTATTCACTATTGTTTAAGCATAATTGTGAGGATATATGAACACAAAGATTGGAAGTGTCTTCTGTAGTATTAAAATCAGTTGTAGGATCTGGAACCACACCCACTGAATTTGTACCAGACTACCTTATACGAGTTGTGTGGCACTGGGTGAGTTGCTTAACTTTTCTGTACTTTATGCATAAATCAGGAAAAAATTATAATAAACTGAAAAGGCTTCCTGGCTCATATATGTGCTCACTATGTAATTTTATTTTCATTGTCATTTGATATCACAGTCCCACGGGGAAAGAAGAGATGCATTCATGTAGTAAGCATAAATGCTATCTGATAATTGTTAAATAGCTACAGCACATTGAGGCTTGGAAGAAATAACTCTCTGGCAATGCAAGCCTCACAATTTGACCTCTTGTAATGCTATGTTACCCGAAACTTTGAAGAAGAGAAAAGTAGTGTTTTGGAAAGATGTTGAGGAATAAGAGTAAAAGCTGAATAAACTGATACATTTTTCTCCTAGGGAAACCATAGTTAGGTTCACCTTAGTAGGTTTCTAATAAATACAAATTATCTACGCTAAGTGTTCTATAATGTTACCTTCCAGATGTATGCTAACATTACACAATGTTACTGGAACTCTTATCATTAAATTCAGACCTTAGGCAAATTCATTCGACTAGTGCTTTCTTCACCTTTTCCATTGCTAGGAAACAACACTAGATACCAAGAACAAAAGAGAGGAGAGGTTAATTTAGCTTATGGTTTCAGGGGATTCAGTCCAGGGTTGACTGGCTGTAAGGGGAAAAAAAATGGTAGGAAGGTGCAGCAGAGAAAAGATGTTCAGTTTGTGATGGCAGGGAGTCAGAGCAGGGAAACAGTGCTAGAGAAAGAAGACAGCACTACGTATAGTACCCAAGGCCAGGCTGCCACCACCCACTCAGGTACACCCAGAAGTGTGCCTTACTGATCTCCTAGACGGCTCTAAAGGCAATCAGGTTGACATGACTGAGCTTCATCAACACGATTAACTTTACTCCCAACATATAACTGTTATATGTTTGTTAAGGACACTTTAAACTCTCAATTTATAAATTGTTAAAGGGAGAATTTATTTACATGGTGTAACTATTGTGAAAAACATTACAGTTATATATACTTGAAATAACAACTTTGGGCTGGGCCTGGTGGCATACGCCTGTAATCCCAGCATTGGAGAGGAGGAGGCAGGAGGACTGTTGTGAGTTCAGGACCAGCCTGGGTGAGAAAGTGAGCTCAAGGCCAGCCTGAACTGTATAGCGAGACCCTGTCTCAAAAAGATTAAAAAAAAAAAAAAAAAAGATAATAGGAGGGTAACAATGGTTAATATATTGTGTATTATTATCTGTAAATGTTACTCAAATACAAGATATCAGTGTTTAATTGTCCAAACAATATTAGCACAAACCTTTCTTTTCAATGAACTAAGAAAAATTAGTAGTATAGCTATCATATATATGTGATGTTTGCTTTTCCTTTCCTTCTTTTCTCTATTCCCTCATCCCAGTTTCTCTTTCCTTTTGAAGCTTCTCCCCATTTTACAATATCTGTTGTACATTTTGGATCTTATTTATTCCTTCAGCTTCTCTGTGTGTTTAAATTTTTTAAAAATTATTACAATAAAAGTCACATTGTCATCAATCCCCCTCAAAATGGTATCCCTGGTTTCAAACACACTTATCTCCTCATGCTTGCCACTTTTTTTTTTTTTTTTTTTTTTTTTTAAA